ACGATCATTCTTCTTCTTTGCATCACCGTCGTGTTGTGCCACCACCGCTCAGCTTCGCTTTGTGTTGAACAACATCTCAGCAATCCCCACCACCAGCCCGCACCACCACTATTGCGATGTGAAGTAGCGGCGGCGACAGTCATCTTCCTTCTTCTTCATTCTTTCATCGGCAGGTGCTTGATTTCGCCACGTATGGCGAGATTTGGTGTTGTGCGCAGCTGGCAAAGATGGATTTTGTGGTGGTTTTTGATTGTTTTGTGGTAATTTTTTAGGTAGTGTTGTGTTGGAAGTCACGCGTGGTGTGCAAGGCCTTGTGATATGGTGATGCCGCGATTGATAGTTGTTGGAGTTCGGTGTATGGTGGCGGTGTGGTTACCATGGTGGTGATTTTGCATTGATGTGGTGGTTGCTCTGGCAATGGTTTTCAACAAACTGACACTGGTCGTGATGTGTTGGTTGGGGGTAGATGGGATGTTGGTGGTAAGGTGGTGCTAGTTGTGGGGCGACGACAATTGGGACGTCGATGGGAGGCAGTCACATATGATTTAATCTGTGATCAGTAAACAACGTGTAACTAGTGAAAAGGAGGAATTGTGACTAAGAAATAACATATGACCTTAAAAATTGTTAAATTTGTGACTGTTAATAAATTGTGATTTATAATATTTGTAATTTGTAACCAATAAATAAATTGTTGTGACGTATAAATTTTTCTAATTCGTGACAAATGAATACACTCTGACCTATTAAATTTTTGAATTGTGACCGTAAAATAATTTGTGATATATAAACATTTTGATTTGTGATCGAAAAATAATGTGTGGCTAATTAAATCGTGAATTTGTGACCAATTATTATTATTTTTTATTTGTGACCTTATTATTAAATAATATGTGGCTTACTCGCTTTAATTCGTCATATGAGAGATGAATTGTAAGAGCTGGATCAAATCTATATCCTTTATTCCTTGTCTGACCAATCAATTGCAATTTTGGAAGGTGAATTTGTTATGATAGAGTCCAGCAATTAATGGTAAGTTGATGCTAAATTGTAGGAACTGATTGATATATACATTAATACATTTATTTCTGATTTTTGAAAGTTCAAACATGTCATCTTTGATTTGAAATATCCCATACTTATGTTCTGAGTTATGAAATTTTCCCAATATTAATAGGAATTAGGAAATGGGAAAAAATAACATTTTCAAGTATATTCTTTACACCATTTCAGAAATCAGGTATAAAGTTTAAAAATTCAAAATTCAGGTATATATTTAATTAATTTAAAATATTTATTAAATAAATATTATAAATTTACAACTACACGATTAATGGTCACGAATTCATAATTATAGGTCAAATTAACTGATCATATATTGTCAAATTAGTTAGTCACAATTATTTTGTGATCACAAATTAAAATTTTTGTTGGTCATAGATTATTTCAAAAATTATTTTGAGGTCACAGATCATTCAAATTACAGGTCACATTTTATCTATGGGTCACATGGATATAGTTTGTTGGTCACAAATCAGCCAAACGGTTACAGACGTCTAAATAGTTGGTCACAGATGCCTAAATGTTGGTTACAACCACGCCACCCATTACCGACACAACAACAACCACCACCACCATGATCATCAACACAACAATAATTGGTCACTACCGCCTCCAGAGCCACTATCACATCATCAACATGAGCACCACCGCCTCCATGCTTTGTCATTCACTATAGTCTTTTTAAATCCTCAGAAACCCTCGTTTACACAACTAACCATATGGAGGCTAGTTCTTTAATGAAAATGGCGCTAAAATTAGTTGTTTTGTTTGTGGTTTTAATGATTGTTGGAGCTGAAGACCCTTACTAATTCTCTACATGGAATGTTTCTTATGGTGACATTTATCCTCTTGGAGTTTGCCAACAAGTAGGTTTGTTTGTTTTGAAGTTGTTTAGCTGCGCAAAATTCAATGATTATGATCTATTTGTTTAGGGCATTTTGATCAATGGGCAATTTCCTGGACCTGAATTCACTCTGTTACAAATGATAATCTCATTATCAACATCTTCAACAGTTTGGATGAATAGCAGATCGCTACGTTGTTGTGAACGGCGAACCATTCAAACACGGCCCAAATCAGCAGCTTCAACTCTCCACGCTGACGTCGGCAATGACGCATTTCTTTCATCGCCTTTGTAGTGGTTGAATGCGTCGTCGAGAAGAGAAAAGGAAGAGACAGGAATCGGGTTTCAAAATTGGGTAAAATGAATAGGGTTTTTAATTGAATTGTGAGAATTACTAATACCTGATATTTGCATAAATATACTTTACCCCTGAACTTTGAATCTGAAAGTTTAAGTACCTGATTTTATGTAATTTTCACTTAGGAAATTACACTAGACCTTGTTTTTTAAGATCGCAATTCAAAAAATAAGTGTAAAGTTTATTTAATAAAAAAATCAGTAATATTCAATTAATAATATTATTATAAAATTAAATTAATTATATTCCCCATTCTACACCTTCCAACCTCATCAAATTTCTCAAACCCTAATCACTTTCCTATTCCATTCTCTCTCTATATCACTTTACACTCTCTATAATCTCTCACTTTATCACACCACCACAACAGTCCGACGGCGACGCTAACCACGACCTTCGACGGCAACATCTCCATTACTCCGTCGCAACTGCAATACCACCACACACCACATAGGAGGCATCAAATAAACTAGCACACACCACTACTGAATAAACCAACAAAGTGGTGCTCAACCACTCACGACACTGTCGGTGCTACGCTGCAGCGATCGCTTACGATACCTCGCCATGGATGGCACTCTGAGATCAACATTGCTACAGCCGGTGGTGAACTACCTCCACTCCCAACATGTGCTTTTCTAATGATTTGGTTGAGCATCAACGAAGTTTATGGTTTTGTATGTAGTTTGTGAGTTGTGATTTGAGGTGACGATGGTGATGCCAACCACAGATTTGGAGATTTTTTGTGGGAATTCGAGGTGGTGGCGATAGTAGTGGTTTTGTTGGATCTGATAGTGGCTGTGATTTTTGTTGGTGGCGACAGCGATGGTGTTGAATCTAACGGTTGGGTTGGTTTTTGTTGAATCTAGTGATGGATCTGATAATGGTGGTCTGACAGTGGCAGTGGTGAATTGTAGTTAAAAATGGTGATTTGTTGGTGGTTGTGGTGAAGAGATAGTGGTGATTTTGAAGTTGAAAATGAAATTTGTTTGAGATGGTGATGGTGGTGGTAAGGTGGCGTTACCGTTGCACCCATTTCACCGTCGAAAGTAAAATGGAGTAAAATGGCTAGTGGTGGTGGTGGGTTGTTGAGTCTGTGTATGTGTTGCTGGTGGTGGGATAGTGTTGGTAATGGTGGCGCTATTAGGCTACGATGGTGGTGATGGTCCTAAGTGGCTGTGGTGAAATCAGTATGTGACCAACTATTTGGTGCATGTGACCAATTATTCAATGATTTTGACCAACTATTTAATTGTAACCTAAAAACTTGATAAGTTGTGATCAAATAATTTAAAAATCTGTGACCGACAAATAAATTATAACTTATTTATTTTTTACTTTGTGACCTATCAAATTTTTTTATTTTGACCATGAAATAATATGTGACCAATTAATTTGATAATACGTGACCAATAAATAAATTGTGACATATAAGTACGTACATGTGATTATTAATTGTATAACTGTGATTTTAATATATTTAATTAATAAAATATATTTGATTATTTATTTATCACTTGGGTTTTGATTTTTAAAACTTAAAAAGTGAAATTTGAATTGGTCCATAGCTAATACTTGAATTTTGAATTTTTCCCGAATATTAATTAATTGTTTTAGGGAAAATTACATCTAAGGTCCCTAGCCTTGGAAAAGCATCTCCAATTATTTCTATGAATGATTGATAGAATTTTAGTCTACATGATATTGATGTTCAACTCAGAATTGTGGTGAGTTCTCAACATTTAAGTGGTGAGACAATGAATTTTTTTTTTTTTTTTTTTAACATTGTCCACTGTTGTAAATCCTACCCTTTCTTCTCTAGAAGACAGTAGGTATGGTGAAGGCTATGTGCCATTATGGGATTGGTACTGCATTAAATAGTCTGCACCCCTCACTTTCATGTTAATGTTCCAATGTGAACAATCAGAGTTAAAATTCATGGCCCCACCATACCCCAGCCCAACCCCCATGCCTTCATATCAATACAATGTTACTTGCATCAGATTATAGCCTGTTCTTGCATTTCTCCTTCTTTGGAATATGAACAAGTAAAGGGCATTCCATTCGACATAATCTTCTTCAAACAATCCACAAAACTGGATGGTGGGCCATACTCGTCCCATTTGTGTAAAATGATAACTAAAGCTTTTGTTTTCATGTGCACAAGAAAAATGACACGTTGATGAAAACTCGTTACACAAATAACGAAGTATGGGGCATCTCATCTATTATACCGCGATGTAGATTAATCTATAGTAATATACCACTTGCGTCCCCTTCGTGCTAGTATTATAATACCAATCACGCATTTGCCATAGTCAATTACAAACTAAAAGAGATACAAAAACTCCTCCATTGAACACCAAATCAGAGAACAATATTCTGTGATAAAGCAGATGGGAACCTCTAAAGATTTATTTCTGGTGACTAAACATCTCATAGACGGCATGAGTGTCGACACGAACCAAGTAACATATGCTATGCATGAAAACTTATCCAAGAATGACAGTTGAGTACAATCATCCGATATGATAGTGAAATAATAACAAAGATACAAGGACTATATAACCAAATAGATGGTAACAGGATTATG